GCCCTGGTACCTACCCATTTTTACTATAGCTATTGCTATGTGTAGTGAATATATATATTTATAAAATTTTCTTATTTAAAAATTCATCTTTGTTTGAGTCACAGATTAATAGGTTTTAATATAGCAAGAATAATATTGATAAAATAAATTTTAAAAAGAAGCTATAAATTTTTATGGAAAAAAATTATATGGCAAAAGATAACTTACGATTAATTTCTAACTTATGAGTTTTATTTAAAACTTTCGGTGTAAAAATTGTCTAATCATTTTTCTAATGCTTTTTAAGTATTCTGAGTTCATTTAAGTAGCTTAGATGTAAAGTTTGCTAATTACTGTTTAAATGAAACAGTAATGGAAATGGAAGAAATGTTGTAATAAACCATATAACAAAGCATAACTAGAATTTCCTTTTAAAATTTGAAATATTAGGCAAGGCTCCAAAAGTGCACTGTATTGTTCTGCATATTATGCAACTAACTTTAAGCTGGTAATGGTACCTGTTATTAGTTGAAATACTTTAGTATAATTGCATATCACACCTTTAATTTAATATAGAATGGGTTTTTTCAACCTTCTTTCAAACTAACTTAAGGTTTCTGATGTTTTCTATCCAATATATACATCATTTTTAACTTTCTAAAATAAAATTGGTTAGGATTAAGTTTTAATTCTGTCAGAACATGTTCATTTTTCACATTATTGTCTGAATTAAATTGCTTATTTGTTAGATTAGGGATTCAGTTTGGAAAGCAATATAGAATTTGGTTTGTCTAGCTGAAAATTATTTATTATTTTGCACTTTTGACGAATATTTTTAAAAAAAAATATAAGATTAACATGCTAAATAATAAATATAATGAATATAAAATTTTAATTAAAGCGAAACATTTAACACTTTGTTTTATAACTAGTTTTAAATTTTAATGAATCAATAAAAAAGTATGAAAGATTTATGGAATTGATCAAGATAGAGAACTGAGAAGTTATAAAATGGCATCCTCAAACACGATATCAAAAACTAAATAGTACCATGTTGATGTTCAACTTCTAATAATCATGTGTTTGCAACTAATAATGTTAAATGAAAAGTCATATTACAGGTACAGACGAGTTTNACTTTGCAGTCTCCAAAGTCTACGTAAATTTTTTTTGACAATGATTCTAAAAAGACAGGGAAACATCTAGTTACCTTTCACTGTTGTGTGCAAAATTGGTCATTAAGATAACAGATCATTTCTAGAATTTTCACCTCTTGATAAAAGTTTAGCCAAATAATATATTCAAATTAGTAGTTAAACTTTGCGATAATAATAAGCACTAAAATTAGTGTTTATATTATTTTTATCAGACTCTTGTACCGTAATTGTTATTTATTGCCCCAGTGATAATATTGTCTTCTACTTGCACCAGTTATGATTGCTTTATGTGCCACTAGGTATGAAGAAGGTAAGTAAACACTTTACACTAGCTGTAGTTAACGATCAGTTGCTGAAAATGTGGATAAAAGCTCCTCTAAGTGAGTTGGAATTTGTCTTTGTCTACTTTACTGATTCGAAAGACAATACAATTTCTAGAAGACTAAATTCTTCTAGAAGACATTTAAACATTAAATTGATAGTTTAAAAAATCAGTGTCATAATGAAGAAGATGTATAAAGATGATTTCTTATAGAAGTTTTGTTATATCTGTTTAGGGTTGTTAATATGAAATACCCTATATAAAAATCACTCTGTTAATTCAAGATATGGTTATCTATGCTTATAGCAGAAAAGTAGTATTACTTGAAATTNTTTCTTATAGAAGTTTTGTTATATCTATTTAGGGTTGTTAATATGAAATACCCTATATAAAAATCACTCTGTTAATTCAAGATATGGTTATCTATGCTTATAGCAGAAAAGTAGTATTACTTGAAATACTAATTAGTTTAAATATTTTTATTCATATATAGTAAAATGGTATTTATTTTAAAGTTTAGGTATGTTGTCCTTTTTCCTAAAATCAGATTCTTGCATTTCTTCTAATTATTATTTTAATCAGACTCTTGTCCTATTATAAAAGATTCTATTGCAATATTAGGTCCAGAAGGCTTAGGGTTAAGAATTATTGGAATGGGTGTTGGAGCTGATGCCGGAGTGGAAAAACTTGGTATATTTGTGAAAACAGTTACTCCAAATGCTGATAGAGATGGAAGGTACTTCTTTCCATAGAAATGTTCTTACAATAGTTTCTATTAAAAATACTTTGGTTTGAACATAGAAATAAAGCACTTCATTTTGTTCAGTTACCCTAAGTTCACCTTGCAGCTCTAATTTCAGAATAAAATCTCCAAGATGTGAAAGGTTATGTCCTTGAAATAGGTTTTGTAAAGTGTATTAAAAATTTTCAGTCTTGCTGCAATGTCTGTTAAAAAGAGATTTAGTTTTAAAAATATGAATTCTATTTTTCAAAAGAATATTTTAATGGAAGGCTCATATTTGTAAAGGGAGTTTAACCATAAAAATTTTGATAATTGTGTGTCAAATTTCTTCTTAAATGATGCTAAATGATGCCAGATATTTATCATTAAGTTGAAAGTGAGATAAAAAATTGTTAATTTTCATGTTAGATAATCCAAATAGGTTTTTTTTTATTCTTTATTGATAATCCTTTAACAAATTACAGCATATATTTAAATAGACATTCCTGATGAACACGTGTAAGGGCCGGATTACCAATTAGGCCAGACTAGGCTATGGCCTGGGGCCCCCTTAAAAAAAATTTCTTTAAGAAAATCAATTTCAATTATACATTAGTAAAATACGATAATTCTTTTACTTCTAATGTAGCGAAATAAAGTAAAATCTTATTTATTATTATTTATTTTAATTTTAAATATGCTTTCTTAAATGAAAAGATATATAAATACATTTATATTTGAATAAAAAAAATATACGAGAAAAAAAGAAGTAATCTAAGGTCCCCAAAAATTTGAGTGGCCCCGCATGCTCTTAATCCGGCCCTGAGCACAGTCAAGTTAAGCTGATGTAAAATATGATTTACTTGTTATTTTATATAGATTGTTTTGGCACTTTTTTTTTCTATTTTATTAAGCATGTATTGTCAGTTTTAATTAGAAATGTGCTTCATTTAATGAAGCTATCAACTGGATACCAATTCACATAAGAATGTTTGATAACAACATAATGAAATTTCATATGAATTGATTTATGTGTTAATTACATGTGTCAGTCAAATTTAAAAAAATGTGGTTTCTGGAAAATCGCCCGAGATAATCAAAAGAGTTTTTGCCAATATCTTACTCTAACTTTCTAATAAAATGTGTTTTGCATTTAAAAAAAATGCAGATGGAGAGTGTTACAATAAAATTACTTTTGAAGTTTAAAAATTCTAATTCATGTGTTCAGTTAAGTTTTTGTTTTTTCTTTTATATTTTGTGAAGAATCAGTCAATGATCAGATTACGGAAGTTGATGTAAAATCCCTTGTTGGTGTAACTCAAGCTTATGCAGCCACTGTATTAAGAAATACTTCAGGACCAGTGTGGTACATTTTGTTTTGTGTTATTCAGTGGTTGATATTTTTTATTTATTTCTATTTCTATTGTTATTTTTTGACCTTAAAATGTTTTCTCCAAAGTAAGGATATAAGGAATAGTAATTTGGCAGAATACCAAATATTTGACCAAAAAAAATCGGCCTACTGAATATTAAGCGGCCAAATAGCAACATTTTGTTTTTAAAAAAATTAATTAATAAATATTTTTTTACTTTAAAATTAATCAAACTTAGCTATATTACTGGTTTGGGGTAAAAAAAAAGCTATAATAGTTATTCATTAAAAATATTTAGGATAAATAAAAAACTGACTAACAGCTATGAAAAAAATAAAGTTGAAAAAAGAGAAATAGAAACAAAGATTTTTTTAATTAAGACAAAATTTGAATGTTAAAAATATTTTTTCCCGGAAAACAAAGTATTCATGGAACGTTAAAAGAAATATAGTATATTAGAAACGTTTTTAGAAATGCTACGCTATAATAAAAATGCCCAAGGAAAAAGATTATATAAACAGTGAAAGAAAAAAAGAAAAATCCAATCTTAAATCTAATGAAAATTTTAAAGTTGGACATCTGTTTTCTAATTATTGTATTCTCAAGAAAAAGTGAAAAAAAAGGAAGAAAAGAATTAAGTCTAATAGAAACCCTTTTTAATTACTGCGTCTTAATAAAAGCGTTGATTTTTGAAAAAAGAAAAAGCAAGATAAGAACCAAAACAAAATTCATTCTTAGTTTTTGAACAGACAATTTAATATTAAAACTCTCAAGTTAACTTTTTCTTATTGCCATATTTTTTGAAGAAGTGACAATAAAAGAATAACATACATTAGAAACGCTCTTTAGAAACGTTCTTTAGAAACTGCTGTCATAATAAAAACGCTGCTAAAAAAAGTTAATAAAAAGAAAAAGAGAAACAAATAAAAAAAATTTCTTATTTTTTAAAATATAACTTTAACGTTGAAAATCACGGCCTTTTTGTTACCTGCTATCTGTCTTTCAAAACAGGAAAGAGTAACAAGAAATGAATAAAATCTATCAGAAATGTTCTGATTAAATACTGCTCTATCATAAAAACAGAAAAACAGCAAAAAAAGTCATAAAACTAAAAGTCTTGAAAAAACAATAAAATTGACCTGCTTGAATATAATTTTTTAAAAAATCAGCCATACAAAACATGTGGTTCAGTATAAAGTAATCTAGTTTCATTTTTTGAAATTTTCCTTTTCCATTTGTCTTCTAGAATATAAATTTGCAAGCTCATAAATTTTAAAACTCAATAAATTTGTGTAAAAACTATTTCTGATTATGTAAAGTAAAAAGACTATTTTATATAATTTTTTAATCTTTCTTATTTCTGAAAGAACTGTCAAAAAATTTTTTTCCTAGAAATAATTTACTGAATATTTGGCCAAACATTCGGTCAGCCGAATATTCAGCAAACGGGCCGAATAAGTCGAATACCGAATAGTGATCAAATATTCTTTATGTTCCTACTTCAAAGAAGGATTATACTCTTCTTACTAATCTAGAATTTAATTGTCATGGACTGTGAATAGGCTCATGCCTAATCACTTGCTTTTAAAAATTTTGGGTCGACGGTTGACTTTCCTTGAGGAAAGCGGGACTATTTTGGGTAAATTGATAAATTCTATATTTTAAGGCAAAATATAATAGAAAGCAAACTGGAGTTCAAATTTAATCGCGCCGTGGAGTGTCCTGTATCATTAGTCATCTAGTCTATGGCAAGTCCTGGCAATGGATTTTTCCTTATAAAAGATATAAAAAGCTCAAATCATGCATCATTTAATAAAATGTGCCAGTAAAATAAAAAACAGCGAAATTCAGTTTTAATATTTTGTTTAGTTATTGGTTAAAATTAGATTTCTTGAAAATTAGAAAGAATAAATAAAAGCCATTGATTAAAATAAAGAGGTGAAACGCAAGCAGAATTTTAAGTTGAAGCTTCCTTTTTCTGGATTAAAAACATTTCATATGAAGAATTCGAAGCAAAGATATTCTGATAAAAATATTAGAAAACAATTAAATTAAGTTATCCTATTTAATGAATAAGCAATAGAATTAAATAAGGTTTTTTTTTTAAAAAAAATGGTTTTCATTTGTAATAATTAAAAAAAAACAAAGCCTATTGCCTTTATTGAAGGTAAGCATTAATACTATTTTAGTATTAATTTTTACCTTCATTAATATTCATAGTTTATATCCCTCACTGACGTTTTGCTTTTTCCTTCTACTCTTTAGCTTTCAATAACCTTTAAGTGTGCCTATTACAGCTGCATAAATGTTTAGCTGTCCTAAACACAGCACGAAAAATTTCTTTTCTTACTCTTACATATTAAATATTTACAGATGGTAAATAAAAAAAATGGAATTTTTTGGTGTGGGGAGTGACCAGAAAAACATTTATTTTGATTCCCAAAAATTATCCAAAAATGGAAACTTTCTATAGACACTTCCAGGACGTATGGTGAGAATTATTTAACAAACTATAGCATCCAACAGCATTTAAAAAGATAGCTGAGTTATGTAGTCTCCTTGTGCAACCCCAATAAATGATCTTTTATTTACCTAAACACTTTTCTTGTGTATTTCATTTATTTTGACATGTTTTCACATATCATTGATTTATTATGGAAAAAAAAGGCATTCTTGCAAGCTATTTTATTTCTTTCTGAAGTTATTGCTTGTTAGTTTGTCTTTTTTTAGTTCACTTATAGTCAAAACGTTTATTAAATATTAGTAAATACTGCTTTTGGATGTTTTTTCAATTTCCTCAGGCTCTTTGTTAATGAATGAAAAATATTTGTGTATAAACTTATCTATAATTATTTAGTGAAAGGTTTAAATAAGAGCAATTGCAATATTAAAATTCTATTGTTATATTCCAAGAAAAAAAAAGAGATAATTACTTTTAAAATTTATAGTTTAACCTTTTATCCTTTTTGCCACTTTTTATTAAAAATTATTGCAATTGATGTCTCTTTTTAATTTTATTTAGTTTAAATTTCCCTTTTAGTTTAAATTTGTTATTGGACGTGAAAAAGATGGAATTCAAAGTGAAATTACACAGTTAATTTCTCAATCTCTGGTAGCTGACCGTGAAAGAAAAACTGAACGGCCCAGTAGTGACTTTGCTTTTGATAATAGAGTGAGTATAGTTTTAAGTTTCACTGCGCAATTTATTATTCAGAATTTAATATACATTTATTGATTTTAGTGAGGAGTTATTTTTGTTTCTTCAATTTTTAATAATCGCAAGTCTTTAATTTAATGTTACTGCCTCGATTTTTAAAAAATTTTTTCTTCTAAAAAACAGTGCTTTATTTCAATGGAAAAAAAAGTTTTGTGTTTATATTTATATTTAGTTAAAAATAAAGAAAAATTATCAACAAGATAAAATGTAGTATGCAAGGTAAGATGCACATGTAGCAATTATTTTAACGCTCAACTTTCATTTCCCCCTTTATGTTAGTTTTATCATATTTCACTGAAAATTCTTCATTATTCTAAATCTTAATTAAAAGAAGGAAAAAAAGTCTGTTCTTGCCTCATTTTGATAGAAAGAAACATATCTTTTCGATTTATGAAATTGATATATTTTTATCATGTTCAATTAATATACTTTTTTTATTGTATACAAATTTATATATTGATCTTGTACATTTAATTTTTTAAAAATTCTTATTTTAATTTTATACTCACTCTTTCATATCTCATTTTACATGAAATTTATAATGTATGTTCTCTGAATGACATATTAGAATAATATTGTATAAATTTTGTTTTCAGTTTATCAATGTTATTTCCTCATATTTCATTTGATATCAGGTAGACTGCATTTCTTTTCCTTAAGCAATTTTTTTTTATCTCCTTGTCTGTTGTTATCTAGGCTTCCCATTTTCGGCTAATGATTTTATTTCAGAAATGTTGTAATAAACCATATAACAAAGGATAACTAGAACTTCCTTTTAAAATTTGAAATATTAGGCAAGGCTCCAAAAGTTCACTGTATTGTTCTGTATATTATATAACTAACTTTAAGCTGGTAATGGTATCTGTTATTAGTTGAAATACTTCAGTATAATTGCATATCACGCCTATAATTTAATATAGAATGGATTTTTTCAACCTTCTTTCAAACTAACTTAAGGTTTCTGATGTTTTCTATCCAATATATACATCATTTTTAACTTTCTAAAATAAAATTGGTTAGAATTAAGTTTTAATTCTGTCAGAACATGCTCATTTTCACATTATTGTCTGAATTAAATTGCTCATTTGTTAGATTAGGGATTCAGTTTGGAAAGCAATATAGAATTTGGTTTGTCTAGCTGAAAATTAATTATTATTTTGCACTTTTGACGAATATTTTTAAAAAAAATATAAGATTAACATGCTAAATAATAAATATAATGAATATAAAATTTTAATTAAAGTGAAACATTTAACACTTTGTTTTATAACTAGTTTTAAATTTTAATAAATCAGTGAAAAAGTATGAAAGATTTATGGAATTGATCAAGATAGAGAACTGAGAAGTTATAAAATGGCATCCTCAAACACGATATCAAAAACTAAATAGTACCATGTTGATGTTCAACTTCTAATAATCATGTGTTTGCAACTAATAATGTTAAATGAAAAGTCATATTACAGGTACAGACGAGTTTTAATGCAATATTTTGTTCTGTTGCATTGTTGTAAGAGAACATTATTAGTGGGACTTAAAAGTCCTGTCAGTACAAAAAGGGTTAATTAATTATGGCTTGACCAGTTAACTTATGGACTTGGCCAATTAGCTGACTTTCCTTTTTTGAATAGTATCCATCTCCAAGTGTTGATTATTAAATGATATAAATGTTGTAAAATATTCAGTTAGGTTTTAGATTATGTGTAATGAATGTAGCAATTGTCCACAGAAAAATTACATATTATACATTTTAAACTCCTAATAGACTTTTCTTGATGTCATAAACTATTGCCCTTAACATTGTATATTCCCATATCAGTTTTAATTTTAAAGGTATTGTTATTTCTAGGTTTATAGCACTCATTCTACGGAAGACTATGATAGACGGAATGAAGACGTTGATCCGATATCTGCATCTGCTGAATATGAGTTAGAGAAAAGAATTGAAAAAATGGATGTTTTTCCTGTTGATCTTATTAAAGGTAATTTTTCAATTAATGTCTTTTTGTGAAACAAATAGTTTTAAATGATAATTTTTTATTTTATAAATTTTTTATTTATTTTGTTAATGCAAAGTTTTTTAGTTTAAACTTAAATTGTAATCTTGTATTTGTCTTACTGTTTGATTGTCAGAGGGAAATGGAAATAAATGGTGTCTTTTAGAAACATCTCTAAGTTTTATTTAGCAATCAAATTTATTTTTATGTTTTTTACTCTACTTTTCTTATTAGTTATTAGGCAGATTTTGATTGGTTTTTTGCTTTTTTCCCATTTTAATACCACTTTGCAGTCTCCAAAGTCTACGTAAATTTTTTTTGACAATGATTCTAAAAAGACAGGGAAACATCTAGTTACCTTTCACTGTTGTGTGCAAAATTGGTCATTAAGATAACAGATCATTTCTAGAATTTTCACCTCTTGATAAAAGTTTAGCCAAATAATATATTCAAATTAGTAGTTAAACTTTGCAATAATAATAAGCACTAAAATTAGTGTTTATATTATTTTTATCAGGCTCTTGTACCGTAATTGTTATTTATTGCCCCAGTGACAATATTGTCTTCTACTTGCACCAGTTATGATTGCTTTATGTGCCACTAGGTATGAATTAACGGTCAGTTGCTGAAAATGTGAATAAAAGCTCCTCTAAGTGAGTTGGAATTTTAACTTTGTTTACTTTACTGATTCGAAAGACAATACAATTTCTAGAAGACTAAACTCTTAATTCTTCTAGAAGACATTTAAACATTAAATTTATAGTTTCAAAAATAAGTGTCATAATGAAGAAGATGTATAAAGATGATTTCTTATAGAAGTTTTGTTATATCTGTTTAGGGTTGTCACTATGAAATACCCTATATAAAAACCACTCTGTTAATTCAAGATATGATTATCTATGCTTAAAAGTAGTATTACTTAAGAAAAGTAGTATTACTTAAAGTAGTATTACTTAAAATTCTAATTAGTTTAAATATTTTTATTCATATATAGTAAAATGGTATTTATTTTAAACTTTAGGTGTGTTGTCATTTTTCCTAAAATCAGATTCTTGCATTTCTTCTAATTATTATTTTAATCAGATTCTTGTCCTATTATAAAAGATTCTATTGCTCTTCGTTTATTGTTAATACTAATCAGTTTATTATTCAAACCAACCAGTTGCTAATCAGTTTATTATTTGAAAGTTACGCCCGTCACATAACTTTAAAATAATATAAATACTGGTTCAACTTGTGCAGAGTGTTTATATCATTTATTTACTAAATTGCTTTGAATGTAGCTCTTTGTTTTGAAATGAAACTATTTCATCTGAAACTAAAATTTTGATTTTTTATTTTCATATTAGGTCCAGAAGGCTTAGGGTTAAGTATTATTGGAATGGGTGTTGGAGCTGATGCCGAAGTGGAAAAACTTGGTATATTTGTGAAAACAGTTACTCCAAATGCTGATAGAGATGGAAGGTACTTCTTTCCAAAGAAATGTTCTTACAATAGTTTCTATTAAAAATACTTTGGTTTGAGCATAGAAATAAAGCACTTCATTTTGTTCAGTAACCCTAAGTTCACCTTGCAGCTCTAATTTCAGAATAAAATCTCAAAGATGTGAAAGGTTATGTCCTTGAAATAAGTTTTGTAAAGTGTATTAAAAATTTTCAGTCTCGCTGCAATGTCTGTTAAAGAGAGATTTAGTTTTTAAAATATGAATTCTATTTTTCAAAAGAATATTTTAATGGAAGGCTCAAATTTGTAAAGGGAGTTTAACCATAAAAATGTTGATAATTGTGTGTCAAATTTCTTCTTAAATGATGCAAAATAATGCCAGATATTTATCATTAAGTTGAAAGTGAAATAAAAAATTGTTAATTTTCATGTTAGATAATCCAAATAAGTTTTTTTTTATTCTTTATTGATAGTCCT